ATATCCGCCGGTCATCGATCGTTGCCCTGTGTTCGAAGTTAAGTTGCTTGTTCTCGACGTGGTTTCGCAGAGCCGCTGCGGTTCAACAAAAACTCTACCTGATTATCATCGGTAAACAGTCATAACGTAACTTCTGTTCAAGCCATCTCTAAGTTCCAATTTAAAGTGAAACGACGTGAAAATATGACACCGATCTTGATCAGTGCTTTTTTTACAATGACAGTGCGTAAAGCTGATCTGAAACCTCCGGTTAACTATTATTGACCACACACCAAAAGGCACCCGTGAAGTCTCTTAGTCGTATTTAAATGAGTTTCCAACTGCTTGGTACGAGAAAACAAAAACGATTTTTGATTCGGCCAAGTTCTCAAAGCGTATGCACATGTTTGTACGTTTTGGCATTACTGTCACGTACTTAAAAACAGTGAAAAATGGACTGCTAACATATGTACTTAAACGGAAGGCTTCCAAAACATCTGCAATTTCATCTTCGACATGCATCGTCAGAAATTAGTAGGTTGGGGGAAGAAACTTCTTTGCCATTTCTACTGTGGGACAGCATAAGGTTAGGAGTGGAAAAAGGCGCAGTGGCTCGAGCTTAAGTTGCCCTTCAAGGGTAATGGGCTAAGTGTTCTGCGCATTAACAGAAGCACCATGGTAACAATGAATTCCTCTGAATCTACCAGTTCATATCAGGTATAGCCAGCTGAAAAACGAACGTTGAAGCGCTGATTTGAGAAGAATCAACGTTGGCTGGGTCACGTCAAAATGGACGAGAACTACGGACAACTACCCTTCCTGATGCGGATACTTTTAAGAGTTGCAACTTGCTTTGACCCACCTGATAGCCAAATATACCGCGTAATCAGCAGTAGGTATCAATCCTTCACTTTGTTTTCTCTCAGATCGTTGCATCTTTTCTAAACGCCGACGCCGATTCAGTATCCCCAACTCGAAATTCCGAAAACCGAAATATTATGAAATCCGTAACGTTTTCTCAAGTTGCTTCTCAGTACTCAAATTTTAAAATATCTTTGGATAATATGAACAACGGCCGTAACATTCTTTCCGTCCTTCTTTTACTCAACTTTTTATCAACCGTCGTAACTTCTGATCTTGGCTAATCAGAAGTGAACCTTCCTTCAATCCGTGACGAGGGCCGGATGGGCAAACGATGTCGGAAATTTTTTCCGTCCCATTCGTGAGTACACTTTATCAACAGACATTTTTTCTGCAAGGTGAAAAGGGAGAATACAGCAAACACGCCCTGTTTTCATGCATACATTTTTTCATAAATACAACCCATTAACTCCTAACTTCAACCAAGTCTTTTTTCCCTTCCACAAGCCCCTCCCTTTAAGCCCATAAGAAAATGCGTTTCTGTACCCGATGATGTAATCCTGCGACGGAACAGGGTCCTTTCAATTTTGGAAAAGCTGGGTTCCACTTCCTGAGTTTTGTAAGGAGCTGATGCGCCGCTTTCTGGACCACAACAGGCAGCTCTTCAGGAGAGAAACTCACTGTTTTGTACCATATATCATTTTATTCAGAAAGAGGCAGATTCGCTATTCTGGGTGTATTTTAGTAAGAAAATGTGTTAAACAGTTTTAATTGCTTCTGTTTCAGAATTTGATGACTCGTTATGAATTTCTTCATTGATTTTCGTTTGTTCTGCTGCCAAATAGGGAAAAGTTCTCATGACAGTACCGTTTCCTAACATAGCTGTGTAACGGTTATATAATAAGCCATCAAAGGCTCTCACTTCGAGGTGTCTGTGACTGCCGTGCTAATTTTTATGAAAATTTGTGATTTTCTCAATTACCTTCAATACCACAACCAATACGACCATTAAGTTCTTTTTGCCACATGACCCACACATTGCCATTGTGACCTTTTGATCCCGGCAATAATATTGTAGACTGTTGTTTGCGCTGCTATCCGTTAATGCATTTTTTATCCTTCTTCGTTATTCCAAACATCCACTTTCCATGCTGAATTGCGTATATGCAGTTTATTAATTGCTTCAAGGGTTAGGATTCACGCTTCGCATAAATAGGGAATTGCTCTGATCGTACTCTGATTAGGTACGTACCGCTTCAGTTACAAAAATAAGAACCATTTCAGTGTTCCGAAAGAGTTCAATGGCATTATTATTGTTCCGCTGATTTCATTAGGTCGGTTCTCGGTGGGGTGATCAGCAGCATCGGAGAAAGCGCGTCATATTTCTAAGTCAGTTCAATTCAAGAAATCGCGTGATCACTCACTATGAGACTTCTTCAGGCTTAACTTCACTCTGCTTTCATGCTGGCATCGGTCAACTATTGAATTCCTTTGGAGCTTTTCCCATGTCTGTGTGATGATCCCACCATAGGCTGTAAGTCCCACATTGTTTAAATAATGTTTATTCGTGCTACGCCCTTGATTTAATAACGGATCGTCTTAAAAGTTCTTTTACACGGCTGCTGTGAATATCATAAGGTTTGTATATATATTTTCAAATTTACCACATTTTTATAAATTCTTAGCAAATTCCGGCGCAGAGGTGGAGTAGCAAATGGACTGGCTTCGAACACTCCGGAAGTACCTTCGAACCCAGAAAAAAGACCATCTTTATATTGACGACAGCTTGCTCCGAGTAAGGAATTTAACCAATGTTGCCTCGGTGCATCAAACCGAGAAACGTGAAGCAAATCGTTGTTTTGGGAATAATATGAACATCACCATCTACCTCTGAGGCCACATCAAAATTAACGAACTGCGCGGCTATGCTTTTAAATGAAAGCACTCCTTGTGGCTGAAATATGCTTTGACCCACGTGAGAGCTTACTATAAATCTAAAAATTAGGGATCGATCAGTTCCTCCGGAAAGGGAGGTGCTTAAATCAATTTAAATAACTTAAACAGAATGAACCTCACTAATCATTTGATGACAAACATGCAATAAAACTTTTAAAGATGTAGATTTTCTACTCAAGACTTTCACGCTTCATCCATAGTATTCGTTTGACCAAGGTGTGGGTCGCTTTCCAGCGTCCGAGGGAACCACTGCTCCAGTTATTGATACAATAAAGAGGTCTCAGCTGCGTAATGCAAAATGACTCTCCTTCACGGAAATTACAGTATAATATAACTTTGTAGCTAAGCTATAACATGTACACTGTGATGTGCGATATGTCAAATATATAAATAAATTAGCTAGGGTTTAGTCTTGAATTTGATGTTAGGTGTAGGCATGCATCTCCAAAGATTTGTTTAGATAGGTTGTTTCTGATAAAGTGAAGATAAACAAATATGTTACTAATTTTGGACATTTTATTAAATCATACTGGCATTCCGTTACGTATGGCCTGTTAATATACGTCGTGTTCAAACGTATTGATACTTTCTGTGTTGCGTTTGCTTATTTTAGTGTTTTCTTTACCTGGCGGAAGATGTGTACGTATTATCCTGAGAAACGGCCTGTTTGATGGCTTTTTGTGGCTGATTAATATCCGAATTTGGCGCTTACGAATTACTCTTTTGAAACTACATTTTGTTTGATACTCTGTAGTTTTTTTTTCTAATGATCTTTTTAAGATTATTGTGTTCTGCACGCCAGCTTATTGGATTACCAGTTGGAGGTGTTTTGGATTACCGTGTGATTGCTGCCGGTGCGACGAAGTGGTAAAATATGGAAGAAGATAATGAGAAGTTTGATGCAATTTTGCTGAACTTGGCGCAGGGTATGAACGGTGGTGTTCCCCAGGTATTGTTTCCGCGATAACTGAACTTTAGTGTTGTCTAAATGATTTTTGTGTCTAGTTATTCGACGTGCTTTTCAGTCTGTTAGCGAGAAAGACTGATTTCTACACCGGTAAAGGGCCGGAGTTTGCCGAACAGGTAGGTTATATCTGAATTAGTGAATTGCGCAGAAAAATTGTAGTCTAAAATTTTTTACTGCTTAAACTGGATCACTAAAAAACTGCTAACACGGCAGCAGTAGGAGGCTAAACATTTAATTCTAAATCGGAATGAAGCAACTCATAGAAGATTAGTTCGGAAATACAGGTATGACAGAGGTCATTGTTGGCTAGACTTTAAGTCATGGCCTGCAAGACTGCCCGCATATAACATCTTCCAAGCGGGAGAGAATGATTTCGATGACAAAATCAAAAGAATCCGTTTGGAACTGTTGTTCTTCAGACGCTGAATCATTGTGAACGTACGCCTGATCAAGACAGTTTTTTTTTATTTCTGTACCCTGAAGAAATTATTGCTTATCAGTAAAGAAATGTGAACAATAAGAAATCGTTGTTGAAGTTTTTATTGCAGTTGGGTTCGATCCCATCATTCAACAAATTAAATTTATAACTACCTTAGAACCAAGCAATTTTTAAAGCATATTGCTGAATATTCTGATATATAATCTACCTAGTTATTTTATAGTCAATCGCTCTTGGAAACGATGGCATCAGATGCTTCCCTTGCTTCATTGGCAAGGTGTTTTCAGAGTTCAGCGTTGCCTTGCATTTTTTCTGAGTGTTTAATTGGTATATGGGTTTTTTACTACGAGAATTTAGGTTGCAACGCTTCATGCTCTCGAAATGGCGAAGGAGTCTTATGATTACAGGCCCGTTTGAGTATTTCCTCGAAGTAGACATCCCTTTTTGCCTGTGGGATGTTCAGCTTAATGTTTAGCGTTGCTCTTCTCACAGGGCTTGATTTTCATAAAAGGATATGATCTTCTCTGGTACGGTTGTACCAACATTAGAAGATCACTAATTGCGTAAGATCAAAACATCACGATCTTCGAACCAGCTGATGGCTTCTTAGCGGTATCTGGAATATCAGTTATTGTGCCATCATATTTTCGGGGTATGCATTCAGAAATAATGTCTCAGTATTTTATTCATGACGGCAATAGCATCCCGTGTTGGTCTTCATCTTCCAGTGGTGGAGAAAATAACTGCTGTGGCTTTCTCCAATACAGATCCAGAAAGGAGATGAAAGCCAGTGGCATTATGCTATTGTACCTTTGCTAGTTAGTGTCAAAATATCAACGTAGGAGATTCGTCTCTCCTACAGCTCAGATGTAAATTCTTGTAGTTTTGTTTATGCAGACAGCAGTGCTCGATTACCTTTGAAATGCTGTGCAGCATTTTTTGCTTAATTAAATTTTAACAAAGTTTGTGGATATCAACAGGGTAACTGTCTTTCTTTTATTTGAAGAATGGAAATGGCTGAACATGCGAAGTCTGACTGCATCTGTAAAGTGTATTACCTGTTATTTGTTATATTGGATGTTCTCTAAACTTCTCAATTCTACCAATCCTACCAGTGCAGTGTGTGTTTTAGTTCTGTGCCACAGCGGCCATTCTTCGTAGCTGTTGAGCCTAGTAGTTGAAGTTATCTATTTTGGTCCTTTAATCTTCATGGGATAAAAACTCGGTCTTCACTATTCATTTTCCTATTACAGAGAAATAATTTAAATGCAAATTATATGTGCTGTTAAATGCAACCGTATGTTTCTATTTTGGCTGGTTCTCGAAAAATTTCGCGCCCACAAGAAATTAGCCATGGAGGTTGCTGCGAAACTGGCTGAAAAAAATAAGGAAGAAGCTAAGCGATTAGCCCAGAAGCGTGCTAAGCAAAGCAGAGACGAGGTCCAACCGGCCGCTGATTCCAACGAGCCAAAGATCAAAGAGTTGACGGATGAAGAAGCGGAGGAATTGGAGCGGAAACTGAAGGCTAAGGTATGATCGTAACGGTAATTGCGTGAGACATGTTTTAGTGTAAAAAATTGAAATTCTATCCGTTTGTATCTTTTACATTTACACAGGCGTTCATTTTTTAGCATAAAGATGTGTTTCAACGATTCATGGTTCAGGGCACAAAAGGCGACAGATGGTACAAGATTTTGTATTAACGTGTTTCGTTCCATAGACTGTGGCATCATAACGGTTGAGCTGGGAACAAAAGGCTTTCCAGCCCAGCCTTTAACTACTTGCTGCATTTTGTACCCCGGACCATGAATCGTTGAAACACATCTTTTTATAACTACGGCCACAGAATATAAAACCTCGAGCCATATTGATTTTTTTCTTACGTTATTTCCGCAGCTTCTTCACAAATGTATATGCAGTGTTTGGTTTTCTGTTTCCGTCTCACTAAATTATTCTCATTCGTCTATATTCATAGGAAAAAACTCAGTTGAATCGATCAGGGGTGGAACCCAATCTTTCAATTCAGAGTCCAATGCGCCATTGACCGAATAACCCTGGAAGGAGTTCTTAGCGCAATTGCAGTTTTTAGTATAGGGAATGTCTGTAGTTTCTCATGTTACAAAAATATACTGAAATGATTTTGTTTCATACAATTGTTTCATATCATGATATTTCGTCTCGTCTTATGAAGCCGTAAAAGCGGGCTTGATTCATACTGAATAAGAATCACATTTGGTCAGTGTCCTTTTCGCGCAGATCGCAGATAGTCATTCTGCATTGTGCTTTACGTTTCGGTTCGAATTCCGACGCAGCTTTAAATTTTTTTATTAACTGATAATTTCTGTATGCACGGAATTCACCTCACATGTTTCTGTACAGCCGGTTGAAGAACATGTGGCCTGAAGCACTGATGTTATGACTGTAGTTCGTCTTAATCTACCTGGATCTACCTAATTAGGACGAGAGTGATCCATAAATAGGTAACGAATGGAAACTTTATGTACTAAAGATAAAGCAGATGTTCTAGGGGCACTACTACATTGCAGCTGTCCGATTCCACAGGTAGTCATGACACTAATTTCTGATCCCAGATTTACTAGGCGTAAGCGCACTACCTTCTTGCTTTTAGTCGCCTAAGGGGACCATTCACGAAAACAGTGGCTCCAGTAATTCCGGTATCAGAAACGGAAACCCTGTAGATGATTAACTTAAGTTTAATGTACCGTCTCAGCTTCAGTGTAAAGTTTAACGCCTTTATATCCCAAACATTAACGGCAGTGAAAAAGATGCAGACAAAATAAGAGGACGACGGTCAAAAAGTAATGCTCCATTAGTATTCTTGGGCTGAGGAGACAGCGAAGACCATGGAACCTCTTCACTGGGATGTTTTTTTTGTAGACTTCGCATATTGATTTGACATCTAGTCAGGGATCTTTGCCTGTACCAACATCTATGCAGCAACTTTCATGGAAATTTCATGGCCCGGAACGGACTACATGCCTCTGCCACTCAGATATTTTTTCAGTCTTTCTTTGTTAAGGAGTTGTTCAGTCGGTAGAGCGTCGGTGTCAGAACCGAGAGGTCTCAGGCTCGATCCCCGGTCTGGTCACTGGTCTTTGTTCCTTCCGAGATCGGTAAATGAATACCACTCAATGAGAAGTAAACAGAAGAATTACACGACAGGCTTTCCACATAGCTG